TACAAGTACGGTCAACCATTCAGGGAGCGGTGCTCCAGCAAAGAATCGCTGCTAGACTGCACATATGGGGCACAACATGACACTTGTCGTTAATAGGAAGGGCTCTGGTGGCGAATTCAGCCCTCTTCTCCATTATGTGGTTTGTATCCACAGTAAGAGAGGTACCGCCAACTGTGATATCTTCAGTCAAACGCCTTGTGGCACGCTTCCTATGGAAACCACGGGCCAAGAAAGAGGAGGGGTGCTTGATTAAAGTCGCATGGGAAACGCTGACTTTTGCAAGAGAACAGGGAGGCCTGGGAATGGTGGACCCAGCAAGGCGGAATCAGGCCCAATTAAGAGCATGGATATACAAAATCGCCTCGACAACGCACAAGGAGCACTGGGTAGCAATGGCGGAACGGATCCTGATGAGGGAATGGGGATTAAGCAGGCCAGAAGATGTGTGGACGTGTTTTTTCATGGACTCATACATGAAAAGAAAACCGAAGTCACCATTTTGGGACCCGATAAGGAGAGCCTGGAGAAAACAGCCCCCGGACACACAGGCAGAGCCACAGACAAAAGAGGAAGTGCTGCTACAACACCTGTTCGAGAACAAATGCATTCGTAATGAAGAAGGTTCAATATTCCTAGCAGATGCCTCAACAACAACCATTGGTCAAGCGTGGATGAAACGGGGTGTAGTTCGAATTGAAAATCTCTGGTGCTCCTTAACGGGGACATGGAAAGCAGGAATGGAACTCAGAGAGAAACTGAGTAACCTTAGACGGGTAGAAGAGAACAGGAAAAAACTGGTGGACGCAATCCCGACTGAATGGAAGTCCATCCTAGGCCCAGGAGGGGTGGATCCGCCAGGTACCTGGTACACAGCTACGGAGGAGCCGGAAGAAGGTGTGGTATGGAAAGTGGTGGAAACACTCCCCAGTGGGTTCCACAAAGTGGAAAGATGGAGGTGCAACACACACACGAAACAACTGTAGAAGGTGGATGAGACAATCATAATGAACTGGCACGGTCAGAAAAATCAGGGTCATGGAACTGCAAACAAAGCAGGGATCGGTCAGAGCTCTCACAGGGATGGGAGGTCTCCCCGTGAATGAACTTTGCATCGACCCTCAAGCCTGGAGCTGGAAGGAAGGAGAAGAGCAGAGCAGGAGAAGTTGGACGTTGGGAGAGCTCACAGTTAAACAAGATTACGAATTAAAGAACGATGGGAGGCGAAAGCCTGCAGAAATTGCAGTGAACAGATGGCAGGCGGTGATGTCGGAAGACTTGTCCAAGGCGGGTAGCCAATTTGAGAAAGTTTGGAAAATTCTTAAGTTGCTACCAAACGGGAAACAGACGAGTATCATGTGGATGTTGTCACTGATGGTAACCCCGTCCGCGGTGTGGCTGGTGAGTAGAGGGATGGAAACAGATCTCAGGTGTGTGCGTTGGTCCAGCCTCAAAACGGGTGTGGAAGTGGTGGCAGTTACACTGGGAGCAAATGCAGGGGAAGGGGGTGAAGTGGGACGAAGCTTGGGTTCTACTCGACTTTCTACCTGAAGGTGTCCAAGGCACAAAAGGCTAGGGCTATATAGCCCATGCAGTGCAATGCCTAATCTGTGAGATTATCTGGACCGATCGAAACAAGGCCAGATTCCATAATATAACCCTGGCTGACACAAAGATCAAAAGACTGATAAGGAGGTGCCTGAAGCAGGCAATCCGGATGGACTAGAGAAGGAAAGCAAGGGGAGGGGAGGGCAGTAATGAACAACTGTACTGGTTCCTGAGAACATGGGCAAAAAATAATCAGCTGGCAGCAGTTCATGAAGAGAGAGGCTTGGTTCTCTCAAGATGGATCTAAGAGGGAAGTTAGGAGGTTAAAGAGGTACAAACCAGGGCACTCGGTTCGTGGTGCCAACCGTGGGAGGTCACATAGGGGAGGAGGGTGGCAGAGTACCACTGTTACTAGGAACCTAGGTTCCAACCAGCCGAGATAGGCTGGTATGAGGCCGGGTAGGCCTCGGTACCATAGGTACAGTAGGAACAGGGATGTAGAATGGCTTACATTTGGGTTGATAAGACTGAAACAGTGGACGTACAATGGCAGTTTTTGATGAAGTAATAGGCAGTTAAAATTAGAAGGAAGTTGGTTGGATATCTGAGACGAACAAAAAAGCTTGGGAAAGGTAAGGTAGTGCTATAAAGTCTAAGTAAGAGAATTGGAAACCTGTAGGAAGGGTAGGGCCGCAGTCCTAGACTGTAAGCTAAACTGGCTGATGCTGCCAGGATAACTCCGGGTTGAATTGTGAGGTCCCCGGCCTCGACTGTTTAAATTTGGTATAAATGCTTTGCTTTAAAAAAAAAAAAAAAAAAAAAAACAAAGGTAGCACGAAGAGGCCGAGACCCTCACAATTCTACCCGGGGTATCTGACAGCATCAACCAGCTTAGCTTACAGGCTCTCGCCTGTGGAGGTCAGACTATCTGACTTCCGGGTTACTGACTACTTGATCTACTTCGATTTCACCATGTTTCTGCAGTTCCAACCTAGAATCTGGAAATCGGCGCTAGCTAATCTGGCCACAATAATTGATTGTGAAATAAGCCGAAATTTAACTCTACCAACCCACTGAGGTTACCTCAGCTGGGATGTGGACCATGACTGGGCGTTTAACGAATCATACTTCGATGATTAGGGCCGGTGTCGCCTGTCTACAGGCTCCACCACTTCTGGGACTAATATGGGCCAGAGGTCCATAAGCGGACCAGACCTATTGGCACTCACCTAGTGGCCCACCGTGGCCTTAAACAACCGAGTGTCCTGGTTGATTACTCCGTGCCACTTCCTACCTCAGAGAGACTATCCTGCTAACTCTAGTCTCTCAAGGCAGTTGGCTTCCCCCCACCTGACTTCCCTTCCTACTTTCTGTTCTCCTTGTCTGATTCCAACAGCCACTCAGATAGGACCAACTCCCCACTGGGCTTCACCTTTGCGACGTGTTCGCCCTTGGCCCAAGTGCTCCGAAACCATCCCAGCTGAGTTGAGCTCCTCTTTCCTGCCTTTGCCTTCCTCCTCCAGTCCACCATGATGGCATGCTTCAGGCCTTTTCTTATCCTGAACTTAATTTTCTGATCCGACATGAACTTCTTCTGGAAGCGAGCCATTCCTGTCCAACCAGATGATCTCGCAAAACAGACCCGTAACTGCGTGTGCTATGTATCCCCAACCCCTGTGACTCACTACCTTCGGGGGGAGGAACCCCATCAACACCCACCTTTCATCCCAAGTTACTCCTTGTTCGTCAGCTTCCCTCCAATGGTGTGTCCACCAGTTCCAGATCCTTTTGGATGCTGGACAGTCCCACCACAGGTGGCGGGTAGACTCGAAAGACCATCTGCATCTGGTACAACCTAGATTCACCTCCATGCCTTTGCTGAGGAGCCAGACAGCCAACGGGGTCATCATCATGGACAGAAGCCAGAGGATGCTGACCTGTTTGTCGTTGGGGAGGAGAGTCAGCGCCTTCCATAGTCTCTCAAACTCTTGTTTAGCATTTTTTAGTTCTACCCCCCAGACTGCTTGCCAGCGAGAAGAAGCCACTTGTGCAGGCTCCCTGAGCATTCTTGCTGACTGCTGGTAGCCCTGTGCAACTGAGTAGTCCATTATTCTGAGGGGGGGTTCTCCTTCCTTGTTGTTGGTCCACCCCCAAGCAAGCGGGTCGATACATAACTGCCGTATGGGGGTCCTTCCAACCCACACAACTGTGGTAAGCCGCGGTCTTTCGCCTCTTGATTCCACCACTTGGACCTGTGTCGGATTGTCCCAGTGCATAATGATCTCCTCTTCTATCCATGACAGGGTGTTGAATGGGCCTGAGCAATGCCATCTCTTTACTATGTGGAACCCACTTGGGAGAATTTGTTTACTTTCCACAACACGTTCCCCTCCGTTTCTTGTTCCGATACGTACCAGGTGTCTGGCGGGTCCAGCTTATCTGGGCCAAGCAGCTCCATCAAATCCTGTGGAATAGCATCGGTAATCAGCCTCCAACGTTCCTCTGCTCTTTGCAGCCCCTTTAATACTTCCTTGACCTCCGACAGGGGTCTCCAACCCCTTCGGGTTAGGGACCACAGATCCTCGATACGGACGATACCTCGCTTGACCCATGACTGACCAAAGCTCCCTGTTGATCCATCTGCCAGGAACGGTTCAACGTTACGGTTCTTGATATGCGGGTTCTCGAACAGAATCTGGTCCTGCACGTCTTCCTTGGTGACTGGGGGACACTGCACGTCCGACGGTGACTTCTGCCATGCTTTACGGACTTCTTCCCAAAAGGCTGAGCCTAGCCTTTTCTTCCTGAAGGGTGGAATGAAAAAGCTCGCCCAGACATCCTTAGTCCTTTTTAAACCCCAGTCCTGTACTAGGATGCGTTCTGCTAACAACACCCAGTGCTCCGAACTGTCTCTAGTAGCAACCTTCGTGACCCATCCCCTCAGTCGTGCCTGGTTTCTTCGTAGGGGGTCCATAATCCCCACACCCCCTTTGTCTCGGGGGAATGTCAGCAAATCAAGTGCTATTTTTGAGATGAATGATTCGTTGTTCTGAGCGCGGGGCGTCCACAGGAACCTCAATACCGACCTCTTGATGAATCTGATCGCTCCGACAACAATTTCTCTAACTGAAGAGACAAACCACAGGATGGAGAGCAACACAACGTTGGTCACTAATGCTCTCCCTATGATGGAGAGGTGCCACGCCGTGCCCCAGAGTCTGAGGCGTGCAGTGATCCGCTGCTGCAGCAGGAGCCCTTGGGAAGTCGCCCCCACTTGCAGACTGATAAGCACCCCTAGGAACCTCTCCTCCTCCCCATTCTCTACCCTTCTCATCCCCTATTCGACCCTGAGCTCAAACTGGACTGGTAAGAGATAGGTGGACTTGTTCGAATTGACCGAGGCTTCCAAAAGGAGAGAGTACTCACACATCACTGATTTCAGTGCGGAAAGCGAGGTCACTGTGTTCTCGCTCACCATGAAAAGGTCGTCCGCCAGTGCCTTAACCTTGTATTCCTCGCCTTTGTGCAGCTTCATACCTCTGATGTCCGGATGTCATCTGATCTTGTTTAGCAACACCTCCATTTGTAGTACGAAGACTAAATGAGCCAGTGGGCACCCCTGACGACCTTGTCAATGGGAACGGAGCGGACAGGTGCCCGTTAATCATGATCGCTGACGAAGCGTGGGTGTACATGGCAATGATCCAGGCACAAAAATTGTTACCAAAGCCCATCCTCCTCAGCGTGGTGAGGACAAAGGTCCACCCCACTTTGTCGTACGCTTTCTCCAGGTCAAGGAGCAGGACTGCGACGTCCAAATTCTCCTTCTGCACCACCTCGAGCATCTCGATCGCCGTCACTATGTTGTTGAAGATGGACCGTCCCTGCACAAAGGCCCCTTGATCTCTCTCCACCAGGTCTGGCAAGTATTTTGAGAGGCGGCGGGCTAGCGACTTTGCCAAAATCTTGTATGACACGTTTAGTAGCGATATCGGCTGCCAGTTTCTAACTTCCGACTTGTCCCCCTTCTTGAATAGAACTGCGATTACTTCGTGTGTCATGCCCTTGCCCAAACGACTGCCCTCTAGGACTCCGTTATACAGATCTACCAGCAGGGGACCGAATACTCCCCAGTTTGCGGTGTAAAATTCTACCGTTAGTCCATCGACTCTCGGGGACTTGCCCTTCGCCATCGATTTTACTGTTTGTGTTAACTCTTCTAGCGTGAGGGGTCTGTCCAGGTCCAGCTTTGCCGTAGTCTGTAGCCTCACTGTGGTGTCCTCCCACATGTCTGATGCTTCTGACAGGTCCGTGTTCAAGTCGTCCATTGGCCTCCTCGTTGTAAGGATGTCCTCGTAGTACATTCTCGCGTACTTCAGCATGCCTGTCGCCGTGCATGCTAGAGGGGCCGAACCATCGAAGGGATGCTTCAATGTGATCATCTGCTGTGCATTACGGCTTGGCAGCAACTTTTGAAACGTCTCCTTCGACATCTTGTCGTGTGTCTCAATCCCCTTCTCTTTCAACAGATCCGACCACCTGTTCTGCTTTCCTTCTTGCAGGGCATCCCATTCCGCCATTCTTCTTTTTCTCTCTGCTGCCCATACCAATACTAAGATCGGATGTCCCTCCATTCGGTCCTCGGCTTCCTTCACTCTCCTCCTGCAGTCCGCTTCTCTCTTGTTCCTTGTTCTTGCTAGTATCCGGGAAACCACGTCCAACACTCCTGAGGTAATGGCTATACGTCTGTCTAACCACTCTGCTGTAGAGTCGAAGAAAGGTTTGGTGCTATCCCAACAGGACATGTGATCGGACACCCATTGGTTTACACCTGGCACCTCCAAGATCTGGCTGTTCACTCGAAAGAAACCTCTCCCCCTCTCCACCCCCAGGTGCAGTCTAATAACTTCTATCACTGGCTTGTGATCCGACACTGGGTTCCCCACTTGGCGCACCCTAGTCACTTTCTCCATCAGCTGTTCCGCTAGCAGAAAGTAATCAAGTCGCCTTCTTGTGACCAACTGTCTGTTGTGGTACAGGTTTGATACCCAAGTGTACCTAGGGTCATCCGGGTTTAGGATTGGGAACGGGTCTACCAGCTCCAGTTCCGTGCTGAACTCCAACAGCGTTTGAGCGTCCTTTCTGTTTGCAGATTGCGAGCCCACACGCAGTACTTCATCAAAAGACACATTCCAATCCCCTGTGATCATGAGTTTGTCTGCCTTTGGGACATGTAGCATCAATCTTGCGAAAAAGGACGCCCTTCTTCCCACATCAGTTGGAGCGTAGACTGTCATGATAACCCATTCTTCGTTCCCTACCCCAATCTTTATCCAAGCCCATCTTCCCCAGATGTTCGTCTTAGAGTCTATCACCTGCGCTTGCAGGTCCCGGTGCAGAAGAATCCCCACTCCCCCTCGGGTGCCTTGGGCGGGGGCCCAAACCTGTGGACCATCCTACCAGAGGGAAAATTCCCTCAGTTTTTCTTCGTTCAGTTTCGTTTCCTGTAGTAAAACTATATTGGCCTTACTCTCATGAATCCAACTCTTCACCCTCCCTCTTTTACCTCTACCGTTCGAGTCCCCTAACCTCCGCACGTTCCAGGTGACAACTCTGATCCTATCCATTCGGTGTGCTGCCTTCCACATTTGCTTGGACGCGGGTATCGGATTGTCCCTCCGTCTGGAGGCGTGCGTCTACTTGGCTCCTTGCTGCTGTATCCTTGGATCTTCGTTGCGTTCCGCTCCGACTTGATCCTGAGCGTGAGGATGATGAGCGCCATTCTTCCATAAGTTTACCTGCAAGAACGTCCGAGTGCAGATCTTCTCCAGGTGCTAACTTCTCGTTCACATCAACAAGACCAGCGCTGAAATCCCAGGGAGGACCTTGATGTGCTCCAGTTCCCTCGAGTGCCGCTCCCTGACCAAGTCCGTGTGGAACCATCTGATTCCATCTTGGGTGAGCGTATCTGCAACTTCCGGAGGGATGCGTGCGTCAAGCAGTGGGAAATACATCTTTATGTATCCCTGGAACGATTCGCAAATGATGTGGACCATGGTGGAGTGCGGGATCAGCCTTACTGGGAGCTTTTTTGTCACCTCGAGGATCTTGCCTGGCGTGGGAGATTGATCCAGCAATGTTGAGGGGATCACTGGGTTACCCTCCCCATCTTTGACTGTCATGAAGCATGTGCCTTCTGCAGTCCTGAAGCAGATCAGTGGAATCCGACAGCGCTGGACTGCTTCCATTCTGTTTCTGTCCACTGTTTCAGCCCTCCAGTCTTTGTTTGGAATCCGTCCTGCATCCGACTCCGGGTATTGGTCTCTGTTCTTCTTACCAGATGCAGCGAAGCTCTCCATCGATGAAGACACGTCTGAGTGGCCAGCGGAATCTCCCTCCTTCTCACCGCATTCGCTGCCCCACCTGACTCTCGAGCGAGACATACCCGGTGTTTTTGATAATTCTCTGCGTATTGCTCCCTCCCCTTCTAGAATGCCTTCTGGTATGCCTGTTGGTGCCCAGCCCCTCGAGTCAACTTCTCCCGTTCTCTCTTCTCTAATCTGAAGTTGTTCGCTATGTCTTCTAATCAGCGTACCAACCCCTCTGTTCCATTGACTATCCTCTTTCCAGGTGTCCCATCTAGCACTGCTGGCTCTGGAACGTCTCCTGTTTATGCCTCCCCTTGCCTCCCATTTGGGCACTTCCTGAGTAATGAGTCCTCTTCCTTGAGTCGGTGGAGCCAGATTCCTCCAGTCATAGGACTCAGAGGGGTACCTGGGCTTTGGGTGCTCTATCTGTAACTGATGAGGAGAGCCGTAAAGGCCTCCTGGTACTTGCTACGCTCCGACCGCTTCGTGACCCATTTGTGGCTGCTGGTGGTAGTCCTACCTCTACCAGTGAACTGCTGCGTCCGGGCCCGAGCCGTTGCCTGGTCTGTCCAGATTATGTTCGGTGTGGTGATAGTACCCCATGCCTTGTTCAGACTAGTTCCTCCTCGAGTCCCACAGTGTCAGCAGGGACGGGCCTGCCGCTGGTCCAGCATCTCTATACCATTGAGTATCATGAGGGGCGCCCCCTGTACGCCCCATTCAGCTGGACCACCAGGCTGAGGTTGAAGTTGGGACCTTTGTTGGAACCTCCCTTCCGCCCTTGTTTCTGGACCCGGGCCTAGCACGGGAAAACCCTCTTGAGCGTACATGGGTTGGCAATGGCCTGCTTTGTTACAAACAGTGTGCGCCGGAAAACTCTGTTGTGGTTGTCCTTGTGAAACGCACACCTGCGGTTCTTTCCTCTGTGCTGCTGCACAGGTAGCCCCGTTCGTCCCCCTCCCTACGATCGAGCCCTCCCTCGCTGTCTCGGCTTGGCTCCGAAGGTGTTCTTGGAAACGTACTTTATGACCTCCCTGTCTGCCTCTGTTCCCCCCACGACCCTCTTCGCTCTGCTTGTGTCTGGGGCAGTTCTCTTCAGTGTGGTAGTACCATTTACACCGACGGCACCAGTCGGTATATGGTGAGACTACTTCCACTTTCCACACCTCTCCCTTCGGAGGTTGGATGAAGAGCTCGTCATCGACCTTGGCCCACGCTATCGGAGGCATGTCGATCTTGACGTTCATCAGCTTTGGCCTGTCCTTATCGTATTCCGGCGAGTGCATCTCCAAGAAGTCCCCAAAGATTCCTTTCACTGCACTTGCTAGGTAGTAATACGCCTCCAGTTGGACTCTCAGGGCAATGATCCAGAATTTGGTCTCCGGTTCCTGGATCCTGACGTCCTGCATCTCCTGTTTGGACAATCTTGGCTTGAACAGGACTTGGTATTCGTCGGAGCCCAGAGTAATTTTCATCTCCTTCTGTTGGATCAGCCATACCGCCACTTCCTTAGCTCTGGCGACGTATGATGCGACGTTGGGGTCTTCGAATTTAACTCTGCCTCTTTTGAGCGTAGGATGAAACAGCTTCTTCGCTGTCCACCCGTCCTCGTAGGCTCGGATAAGGTCCTCCTTCACTGATCTGGCCAATTTTTGTACCTCCCCCTGGAATATGACCACGACTGATCTCTCCTTCAACCATTGTTCCTTCACCTCGTTGACTGCCTCGTTCACCACAAACCTCTTTCCTTGTGCGTCTTCCACTACCCTCCCCAGGTTGTTGTCGTCAAGGCACACGCCTTCGTCATAGCACTTGCTCGCTGACTCCCTGATCTTTGTGAGTTCCCCTGGGGACAACGGGGGGCCAGGTGGGGGATTCCCTCCACCTGCTGCGGGAAGAGCCATGATCCCCGGTGTCCCTGCTTATCCTCAGGTGAAACTTGCCCTGTTCCCAGAACCAAATTTTTACCCGGTACTTTAGCGAAACCGAAACTAGTTGTACTGGACTTTATCAGAGTCGAACTTTACTCACTTTGAGTAATCCTTCGCCCCCGTGTCTGACGTGCTTGCACACTGTAGTTGGTTCGTCTGTACTTCTACTACTCCTGGCCTCTTGAATCACTACAAGGCAATCCCCTTCCGGCATGGAGGAAATGGACGTGAGTACCTGCAAGCTCAGTCTCCACCTAAGAGTCTGTTGTAGGATACACCCCAGCCCTGTTGTCTCCTTAGTTCTCCCTTTCCTCCACTGCTCACTGCTTCCCTATACATCCGAGTTCCGAATTTGCCTTTTACCTCTTCCTGTCTTCCCTTTCCCCTGCCCTCCATGTAATACGTTTCTTCCACCTTAATTCTAATTTCTAAGCCCTTCTCCCAAGCTCCTTTCCTCATCACTCGGCTCCCTACATCATTCTTCTTCACTTTCCGCTGTGAGCCTGCCACCTTCAGCACCTGATTGCAAAATGCTGCGAGTTGAATCCAAAGGCCAAGACTTGAATTAATTGGTAGACACCTTTCGGGGGGTAGACGCATGTGTTCTAGCTTGGCCGTCTAGCTGCCGCGTGGTTCGACTGTGTGTGCGACTATCACTCGCCGTTTTGTATCTACCCTCCCTGTCTGGGCTCAGCGTCAGGCCATACCCAAACTCTGACCTTCCACCGGCCAGTAATCAGGAATGGAAATAGACACGGAAGCAACTCTACTTCTTTCCCCGTCACCCGAGGTCTCCGAGTTCTCCGAGTTCTCCGAGTTCGGTGCCTTCCCTTGACAACTGTCCAATAACCTGGGGTAGGAGATAGGCGGAGAGATCTTGCGTTCATTGGTACATGCCCGACAATGTGCCGGACGCACCCATCAGGCGCTGCCGCCGAGGTGTAGAGGGAGACGTCAAAGGTGATGAATAGTGTGGCCCTGCTCCGGCGTGAACAGTAGTATGAATGTCTCCCCAAGGACCTGAAAGATTCCTAACCAAGCCCGGGCGCGGACCTCGACAACCGCAGTTGTACCCAACCTTAACTGCTGGAGCCTTTCCTAGACCGCACCGTAGTTTCGTTTTCAGAAAAGGAAAAAAAAACAAAAAAAAAGAAGAAAAAAACAAAAAAAAAAGAAGAAGAAGACACGGGAGTTTGAGGCATAGATGTCGAATTCAACACATCCTTCAACACCTAGTCTCCGTGATGTCGAAACTCGACCCGCTGCAGGCGGGCCGTTCGACACCCATGTTGAAACTACTTTTCTGATGATTGTCGAAGTGCCTTCGACATTTTTTCTTCGACAGTCTGTGTGGCGAAGAAAAAATGTCGAAAACTGTAGTTTCGACATTGGTGTGGCGAGGCCCAAAACTGCCACAGGCCGTCAAAAGCTGCACAAACCAAAAATAACCAAATAATGCCACAGGCCCATAAAGCCTAACAACCCATAATCCTCAACTAACTATCCAAACAAGCACAAAAACTAGCTTTCCTAAATGAACCGATTCATACCTACATCAACGCAGATAGGAACTGTCACAAGCCAACAATACCCTAACAACCAAGGAGAAAGGCCAACCGCCAGGGACCACCCTAACAACAACCGTCTCAGACCAGCACGCCCTCAAACCAAAGAAAAGGAAAGAAGAGGGAAAACCATCATACCAGTCCAAAGGGGAACAAAGCAAGAAAAGCCCCAAGGACCTGCCTATGCCCTAACATACTACCTAATCCCTACCCCTGCCTATCACGGCAGTACGGTCCACCGGACCGGCCGAGTACAGATGTTGCTGCCTCCTCAATCCTCCAACTGCCTTCCTCCTGCGGACAAGGGAACCGAGCAGACCAGGTTCGCAATTGCAACTACTTCGACCAGAACCAGTCGATCAAAACCATTTTTTCACCTTCCAGCTTAGCCAGTTTACCACTTAGGCCCCAGGTTTCACCGAACCACCACAAGGACCGCTTGCCTTTCCTTTTCCAGTCCGCTTGGATAAACCGACGAAGGGAGGATTTGAATATCGTCCGAATCTCCTTATTCGTCATTTCCTTACCCTAAAATAAACGAGCATTTTTCCTTCCAAATCACATCACAACCCACCGCGCTTGCAGCTTGAGCAATATATCCCCAACCCTTTTGTAATTCCAGTCTGTCAGGGATTCCGCCCAACAGGACCCAATCTCGATCCCAAGCCAAGGCCGCGCCAGAAATCTCAACCCAAAACGAGTTCCACCATTTCCAAATCCGATTTGAGGCTGGGCAATCGTACCACAAATGAGGAGTGGATTCGAAAGGCCAATTACATCTTTTGCAGGCCAAGTCAACTCTTAACCCCCTTTGTACCAGGTTAACCGCTGAAGGGGTAGCCAACAAGGAAAGCAGCCAGAGATTGACCGCAAGGCGAGGGCTAGGGGCATGAGTTAGCTGTTGCCAACATTTGGAGGTCGCCGTCATAATCCTAGATTTCCCACAGTCAACTACCTGACTTCATCTGGAGCTTGCCACCTCAATGGGAGACCGAGCGGACTTATTGGCTAAAAGGTTGAGACCTAGTATAACTAAGTAATCAGTGAGGGGCAGGTCTGAACCACCGCTGCCCTCTCCCTTCCACAGATACGAGGGTCCAGTTTGAGCTGAGAGAGTGTTTGGCCATGAGCAAAAATATTGCTGTCCCAATTCCCTTCATCATCACAAGCTTCCCATACCCTAACTTGAGCCAAACCCACCCCCAATGGGGGTTGGGAAGGCTCTTCTAGTTGAACCAACTGACATGGCGCCTCCGGGTTAAGGCCTTCCCGACATTCAAATTGTCTCTTACCATTTGGGACATACCCTGTCAGCTTCCAAAATAAAGGAGCCGAACTGACCTCTTTTGAGATATACCATGTCCCCTGAGGGTCCACCCCTTCAGGGCTCAGAATATCCTTCCATTGGGTAGGAATAACATTGATAATAGTTGCCAATCTTTCTTCCACGTACCAAACGACACCTAACATATCCCTCAGCGCCCCCGGCGATATCCATTGTCCCTCCAACATCATGCAAATGTCTCCAACCCTCAAAATCCCTCTCTCAATCTAACTTTTTCCAAAGCTGCTCCGAGAGGAGTCCGCAAAAAAACAGGAACCGTCATCCTGCCTGATAGCAGGGTTATCAAACAACGATTATAACAGAACTTCGGTTTTCGTGGTGGGGTTCAACCAGGCGTTCGGCCTTAGTTGTTTCCATGCATGTAGCACAGACCCCCAAAATTCAGATTTCACCCGTCGATTTTGATACGAGGGAAAAAGAAGACAGGTCCAGACATCCGAAGGACGTTTGAGGGACCATTCAGATGCCAAAATTACCTCCGCCAAAGCTATCCAATGGGAGACATCCGAAAGATTCATTGCCTTAATAATCCATCTAACCAGCATAGCAATACTTTTCTTCTGAGGACCGACTAACCCCAGTCCTCCTTGTTCCTTCGGATAACATAGCAAATCTCAAAAGCCACGTTTGACATAAAACCTTCATCATCAGAAGCAAAAGGCTTCCAAATGAACCGCCCAACCCTTCTTCTAATCAAGGAATATAAGTGCTTGCATAACGGGTGGATGGTGGGACCTATGTATCTATTTCCCAGTTTATCTGGATGTATGAATTTCAGGTTAAACTCACATTTCTCAATAAAGGTCGAATGTATGGTGTATACTCGAGTTGTCCATTCCCTGGCTTGAGTGAAATGTATGGAGGGACCTATGTATCTATTTCTAAGCTTGTTTGGATGTATGAATTTCAGGTTAATCCCTTATTTCTCGAAACAAGTCGGATATATGGTGCACACTTGGGTTGTCCATTCCCTGATTGAATTGGATGTATGGTGTCCGATCTATGTATCTATTTCCCAGTTCGTACTGGATGTATGGATTTCAGAGGGGGCTTTCCATTTCTCAGTTAAAATCAAACGTATGGTATACAACCCTTCATTTCCTAGCAATGCTTAGATGTATGAAATTCAATTTAAATGTTATTTCCCAGTTTCGACTGAATGTATAATTCTCATATTGTATTCTCATTCCCTAAGCTAACCAGATGTATGATATTTCAATATGACATATTTCCATTTCTCGGCTTAAATCCGAATGTATAGATTTTGTAAGACCTTTTAGAGGAAAATGCTGCTTAAGATGACCCTGAGAGTAACTATGGACAAAAACTTTTAAAAGAATGGTTTCTCTCTGAATGGTTCGTTCAGACTACGTCTGAACAACTCCAATAAGTTGATACATTTAGAAAACCTGTCAGGGGTTATTCCTGACTCACTTGAGTTCTACTCAGGTGCAACACAGGTATCGACTGAACAAATTTCATTTTGGATCTAGTCGGAGGGCTTCCGATACCATTTAGAGAGACATAAACTTTTAAATGACTGTCAGTGGGATGATGTTGGAACCATTTAGAAAAAAGTCCTCGTGTAGGTTTCCAAGGAAAAAATCAGGCCCACAATCCAAAATTTTATGGTATTGAAAAGTTAGAATTTGTTTGGTTGATGAAGAGTTTTGGTTTGATACGAGATGAATGTTTGAATTGATGTATACTGTGACTGTTACTCTTAAATAAAAATTTCGCAAGAATCCCTATTTTTGTGTGTGAATGACTTGGAAGTCATTCAATGGGGTCGGGGAATGCTGTCGTGGCAGAAACCCTGACAAGGGTATCTGCCCGGGTTTTTCCATGTCAGACACTGTCTGACATTTTTATTAAAACGGGACTTGATGGCACTGACGTTGCCAAAAGTTTATTCAGACCGACCCGATGACCGAGAAGACAACAACTGTTTAAGTCTTGGTTCGGACGCTTATGACGTCCGACAATAATAGCGGTAGTCGCCTGTGTGATCGGTTAGTCGCGACTCTTAATAGAGTCGTGACAACACACGGTCGTGGGAATGTCGAAACTATGCCTAGCCTAGCAACCGCGCGATTCAGGGCCTAAGTAGGCTAAAAAAGACGGTCGCGCT